ATCAAATGGTAAGTCGTTGCTAACCAGGAACGAAATCTTGTGATTAAGTTCCCCTCCTCCATAAGAGAAGGTACAAACTACATCCTTGATATAGTCTGTGACAACCATGCGCTCCTTTTTGGCCAAAGTAGATGCTACCGGTCTACTAAGGTGCTGTACCCGGTCCTTTAGGTGCAGCCTTTCCAAACAGTCGCGACTTATGTAATTTCGTGTGGAGCCGATGTCTATGAAGGCACCACATTTGCGGCCTCCTACAACAACTTCCACAACGAAATGTTTCCCTCTAGGACCTCTACTTAATGCCACCCAAGATTCGCGAGGGTCCTTGCTTGACCACTCACTTTCTAAATCTTCTAAGGCTTCAGACACATCCAACGTACAAAGCATAGTTTGGTCCGTATGAGTCTGCAGAGTGACTAAAGAGTCATTAGCTATGGCCTTCTCATGAAGTGGGGAGGGTATCTGGCCCACTTCACCATGAGAAGCAGTTAAAACTTCCACTGGCCTCACATGTTTCCCGAGCTGGAAGCCTGGGAAGAAGGCACCCCGCACTTAGGGGGTATCTTCTGCGTGACCTTTGCGTTCTTGCACTTGTACTGGGTGTGTCCGTATTCACCACAGTTAATGCAAGCACCACGCACTCGGCGGTCCCGCCACACTTCCTGATCAAGACCTGCCTTGACCCAATCAGCAACTTTGGCCTGATTGGAGGCGGCCTGCCCTTGACTCTTTTGATGGCCCTTCCCCTCGGCCACCTGCCTTAGTTTTTACTACTGCAGCGAGGGTGCTACCCTCAACGGTTTCCTCGCCGTTGTACTCTGTATTGTCCATCAGGTCAGAAAGCTCATCGATCTCGGTTTGGGTCCCATCAGACTCAACCATCATCAATCGACTCCCCTTCTTCTTCCACTCCTGTGGACTCTTCTTCTTCCTCCCCTCTACTGGAGTAGGCTGAGCACTTCCTAGAGTAGCCTTCAAATCCAAGGCCTTTTCTAGAGAAGGTCTCAAAGGAATGATACTCGAGGCGAGCCTCGCTGGCCAGTAAGGTCCTGAGATTCTCGGGCAGACATCTCAGAAACATGGTCAATAAGACCTGGTCATCATAGCGTATACCGGGAACGGCGATGAGGTTCTCTACGGTAGACGTTAGCTCTCTGACTGACTTGTACTTTCTCTGGTCCAGTCTCAACATCGCGTCAGTGGCAATTTGTGCCTGCTGCAGATTATGCCAGCGAGCTTCTACCATATCTAAGAACTCTTCTAATGTAAGGGTCTTACCCCAATCTGCCATGCGTCGTCCGAACCCGGCCTTCGCTACTATTCCATCTAGCCATTTGGCTGCCTTACCTTCTAGGTAAGATGCAAAAGTAATCACCTCCTCCTCCTGCAAAGTCCTCTTTGCCCTTACCCACATTGGAACTGTTCTCAACCATGTGTTGAGTTCCTCGTCCTTCTTCTCACCGGAGAAGGCAAGGGGCGGTTTCATTGGGGTCTTTGGGTACCATTGACCTTGCTGTTGTCCCTGTGGTGGAACAGTTTGTTGCGGCTGTGGTGTAGCACCAGCCGCTGGACTAGAAGACGAAGAAGCATCAGTCTGTGCGACCGCTGCAGATGTACCACTTGGCTGTGTGCCAGCTTGTACCGGAAAGGGGCCTGACATCGCCGTTAACGGCAACGGCAGCTGTGTTGCTAGCCGTAATCCTGGCCTTTGCAAAAGGTCCAAGATTTGGTCCAAGGAGTTCTGCATGAAATCCAGCCTACTGTCCACGTGCGCATGCAACGACAGTATGCTGGCCTTCAACACTTTCATCTGGTCAGTCATGGCTGACTCATCCAAACCCTCTAATGCAGCTTTGTCTACCTCTAGCGTATCAAGCTTGGCTGTTCTATTTTTGATCTTTTTTTCTCTATCGGTAGCTTGCTTCAGTTCCCTCTCTAACTGAGCGCGGATCCTTTCGACTTGTTGAGGCTCTAGTAGCTCCCTACCGCGTGGGGTCAACGGGCTTAACTGCAAGCCCGCCATTTGACTTGTGGACTGACGAGAACCTACTGATCCGGAAGTACCCGTGGGCCCAAAAGGCATTCCTAATTGGGTCCCAAACGAGGATGCAGCAGAGGATGCTGCATCGTTAGCCATTGCTGTTGCGCTGGCTATTGCTGCAGCCTGTTCCCTAGCTGCGGCGTTTGCTGCTGCCAACGCCTGACTTGCAGCTAGTGCTGTATCCCTGGCTGCGGCGAGAGCACGGGCTCTTACTTCAGCACGAAGCCGTCTCTCATCTCCCGGCTGTAGGGCCTGAAACACGTGCGGGACCCTTAGTGATCTCGAACGTGTCAGCTTCGCATCGTCAACTCTACCCTCATCGGTGTCTGACCCACTCATCAATTAGGCAAACACTATCTGCACTACAACTCCCTGTTGGAGTCCTACCACAGCATGTGTCTGACCGACACCTAATTTTCTAAAAATAAATGTGTCCGGCAGGTCCCCTACTCCACCGATCAAGTGGCAGCCTACAACATTCACAAAAGACCGTAAGCATATTTTAGTAATATCATGATTAGTTCACTTACAGAAGTTTTGCATAGAACTGGCTATGGTAGTATACAACAGTCCTAAACTAAACTGTCTGTGAGGTGTTAGCAGTCCGTCAACCAACTAATCAACAATAAAACTAAACTATGTTGCAGATGTATGAACAGTGGATATGGTTGTGTATACAGTTGAGCACCAATTAGAACCTACCCTCCCCTCAATCCAACATACCGATGAGCATCAAGAGCAGCAGTGTCATAGGTGTGCAATGTCGGCCCACCCCTGTGCCCCAGGTGCATGCTTATGACCAGGCTTGCCCATTTTTTATCCTCGCGTGCAACGAGCCGTACGTCCGACTGATCTGGCTGATCAAGAGGCCTATTTAAGGACTGCCCCCAAGGTCGCTCAGGAATTATTTAACATCGCAATCAGGACGACGATCACAGCCAGTTGTCAGATCGGAACCGCATCCAGAAATGTTTATAGACGGTCTGGGAGCGTCTGCATAAGCCTGTTCAGTCTGCACACCCCTCTATCAGCGCAGCAAAAGTGCCCTCATGGACAAAGCAGCCATCGCATGCGTGTACTAATCCCATTTGGTTGGCATGGTGACCGTGACCCACGTGCTTCGACCAGGGCCCTTCAGAGGCACTGCCCTTTCTCCTTCCAGATGCGCCACCGGGAAGATTGTCGTCTCTCAAGGTAGAGCGCTCACGACACCTCACCAAAAGAGAGGACTCTCAAGTTGGATTCACTTCCTCGCGGTAGGAAGAGATTGAGAGAGTAGATAAGGTAAGGGAACAACGTACCTGGAGATAGCTGCCCCCAACCACAGTTTTCTCACCAATTGAGCTGAGTGTGCATTTGATGACTGGTCGTAGCCTTGGTACCACCCACAACGCAATGCAGTGCCACCTCAGCCAAATGCCACATCAGCATGCTCTCATCACCAATCATACATTCCGCCGTATCCACGGCATCCCATGCCGTACAGCCTTCCGGCGCACACCTCTCTACCCAGGTCGTGCGCCTAATATGGCCTGACATCACAAGAACCAACTGCGAAGAAGCATCGTCAACACACCAAGTCTGTATAACGCCAGCGCACCAAGGTAAGCAGCGAATCGAACCAGCTCCGATACCAAATTGCAAGGAACATGAATGTGGACAAAGCACAGAAATCCAAATTGCAAAATCAGACTGAAGTCCAAGTAGTCAAAGCAAGAGCAGATAGCAAAATGGAACCGAGTAACCATCCATTTGAGAACGATACAGACGAATCGTGAGTCAATGTCCAAGCCCAATCGGGCGACACCAACAGCATAACCCAATGTAGCTCTCTCTCTTGAATGGCGCCAGACGCCCTATCTACTCTACAGCCTGACACTACAACTACATCACGGAAGCAACCAGACAACTTGACGACCAGCGAGTGATGACGTCAACACCAATGCCGACCTCCTCTCCACCAGGTACGTCTCTCTCTTCACCCTCACTCTCCCTTGTWATCCCACACAGCGCCCTTCACTTCCCGAAGAACCACCTTCGCCCTCACCTCCCTCTGCGCCCACAGGCAGCCCGGCTATGGCCGCCAGCCGGCCTTCACCTCAGCCTAGCGCAGCGCAGCACCTCGCAGTGCTTCAGAGTGCCGGCATTGCTCGCAATGGCCAAGATCCTTTGCCCAGCCGCATGCTCTGCCTATATGCCAAGCAGCGCGAGGGCGGCCTCATTTCAGCCTGTGCCTGGGTCCCGGTAGCTGTGCCCAGACCCCATGCAGATAAGGGCCCAGGCCGTACAGTTGTGCCTCTTTCATCAAGGCCTTCGTCCAGATTCAGATAGTGGGCCAGTTTCCCACTGGCATTTTCGGCCTCTATATCCAGCATGCAATGTCGGCCTCACGTTTATGCGCCCAGGGCCTAACCAATTCTGAGGCCCTTGTCCTACTGCATTTGCAGGGATCTGGTACTCGGTGCACTCCAACCAACTGGCGTGCGGCAACTGTCTGGACCCCACTTCGTGAAATGTCGCAAAA